AAAATAAAGTTAACCAAAAGATGTATCTCCTTTAAAAAACTTTCCACAGAAGCTGATGTTCAGAGAACACTTAATTAAGCCTTATAAAGAGTAGAAGAGACCCACATTAAACCCAACACAGCAGGAAGCTGTTGCTGCATGTTATCTGCTGAAACTCTTGAAAAGGGTTTTGAGAATCTAGCTGGAACAAAATCAGCAACATGTCTTCAAGACATCTGGTGGAAAACACTGGCTTGAATTATAATGATTTAAGGAACTCTAAATCAGTCTTTGATTAAAAAAAAAATCAATGCTCAAATACAATCTCATCTCAATCACATGAAGGGTCCAATTCAAATCTCCACCAGGCATTTAGATAAATGTATTCGGTGCTGTATACTGTAAGTGTAATCTCCCATATTAAAGAACATTTTAATTATCCAAAATAATGTGTAGTGTTTATATTTGACATACTATTTTTCATTTTATTTATAATTGTTAACTCTTTTCCTCTTTTTAAGTATTTGTATTTTAATGTTGAGCACACTGGTCCTGTAACAAAAATAATTTTAATGGAATTCATAAAGTAAATATCTATCTATCTATCTATCTATCTATCTATCTATCTATCTATCTATCTATCTATCTATCTATCTATCCATACTCTTGACCCATCTGCCCAATATTATTTTGCACACATTTATGACAGTATGCTCAATGACTCCTCTCATGGTTGTGTTGACTCACAATTCAACAGAATGACAAACACCTGCACATTTTAGGCCCATCTCCCAGCTACCTTCGACACTGTGGACCATAGCATCCTGTTGTCACAGCTTGAACAGTCCGCTGGCATCACAGGCTCTGCCCTTGCATGGTTCAGGTCCTACCTGACAGACCGTAGCTTCTCAGTGCAGCTAGGTGCCTTCTCCTCTGCCAAAGCCCCTCTTACCTGTGGGGTTCCCCAAGGCTCGATTCTGGGCCCCATCCTTTTTCTACTGTACTGCCCCTAGGTTCAATTCTCACAAAACACAACATCCCCTTCCACTGCTACGCCGATGATGTACAGATCTATCTGCCACTCAATTCAAATGTCAACTCCAGCTATTGATGGACTGCTTAGCAGAGATCACATCCTGGCTGAGCGAAAATTTCCTTTTTTGGACCCCAACCTCCAGCCTCCCAGGTTGATATGCTGGGCTCCCTCAAAAATAATATCCTCCCCTCTGTTACGAACCTTGGAGTGACCTTCAATAGCGCTTTTAAATTCGATAAGCAGGTCAGCAGAGTAGTCAAAACCTGCTTTTTTTAAATACGACTATTGGCCAAGACCAAGTCGTTTTTATCTTTTAAAGACCTGCAAAGTGTTATTAACGCCTTTGTTACCTCGAGGTTGGACTACTGCAACGCTCTGTACGTAGGTATGGACCAGGCGTCAATTAAACGCCTGCAGCTAGTGCAGAACACAGCTGCGTACTCACTGGCCACAAAAAGCGTGACCACATCACCCCAATTCTGGCCTCACTGCACTGGCTTCCAATTTGGTTCCGAATTTATTTAAAACTCCTTTTATTTGTTTTTAAAGCACTAAGGTCTGCTGACCAGCTGCTGCTGATAGTGCCCAAGACTAGGCTCAAAACCCGAGGGCATCGAGCCTTTGCAGCAGCTGGCCCTAGGCTCTGGAACACTCTGCCCCTCCATGTGAGGTCGGCCCAGACCCTAGGGGTTTTTAACTCTACTCTTAAAACACACTTCTTCTCCCTGGCCTTTTAGTCAGAGTGGAGCACGACTCCTGACTTTTCGCTGTGTTTTTATATATCTGTCTTTTATTGTGATTGTAGCAATATGTTTTTATGTGATTGTAGTATTTATTACATATACAGCACTTTGGCCCGACCAAAAATCACTTTTAAATGTGCTTTATAAATAAACTTTGATTTGATTTGATTTAAGAAGCAAATTACTTTTAAGCAAAAATGCATTTTCCAGAAAGCTGTCAGAATAAAAACAAACCTTACCTCATCTGTTGAAGGCCACATGGTGGTCTGCTGTGGCTCAGAAACGGACATCCATCCAAATGTAGTCTAATTTTTTAACAAGAACATCTGTGGATGAATGAATCACCCAATATGTAATGCTTCATTAAAGTAATGCTTGATGAATGAATCCCAGTTTGTGCTATCTTTGCCTATATCTTGACTGTAAGGGAGCCCAGGACAATTCAAGTTTAATTTGTTTGGGAGGGAAGAGGGAGACACACCTGCTTGAGATCTGGACTGTTCTAGATTTAAGGGTTTGTTTATAAGGTCTGTTATCCAGTGGGGTCACATTAGAAAATCAATTATCTAAATAAAACAAGACTCTTAATCGTTTTTTACTCAGCATGGTTTAGCAATTATGGCACTATCTGTGCTGAAAGGGTCAGTTCAACAATTTAATGAGCAGCTAATTAGCTCACAAGGACACACAGGTTTACAGGCAGGTGCATTATCGTGAGTTGTTTCCACCTCATATATTTGTATTTATTTTCATTCAATCTGAGACTAACCATCTCTGCATGAATGGTCTCTGACTTGGCCAGTTTCAGAATGACTTGATACTTCACTAGTTTCTAGAAAATATCTGCCATTACGTAAAAACAGCAATCAATTCAATCTTTTCACTTGGCCTTAAACAACCCTTGTTCAAAGGGAAAGAGCCGGCAAATGTGAAACTACGTATTATTGCTGCACCTTGTTTTGTTCTACAAGATGCTCAGTAGAACACAAGAAGTGGTGGAATTTTGTGGCCGAAAGCGGTCATGGTTTACATTTCAAGGATTATTGACTGATTCTTTGCCTTTTTAAATCCTATTCAAATATTAAGAAGTACCAGCTTTTCACATTTTCATTCCACACTTCCATATTATGGCACTGGATGTCTTCAGTTTTGATGTAGGGAATAAGGAGACAATATAGACCCAATGCAATACTGTAGAAATGGGATTTAAGTCTACCATTTTACCCAATACAAAAGTACTAATTATTTAAAAACTAATGAATTCAGTTGACTGTTGAATGCACATAACAATTAAATTCTGACTTACCAAGTAATGATACTAAAAAAATTATAATCAATATAGTGGGACAATAATGTGAAGACAAAAGAAAACCAGCTACACTACAAAAACAATAGAAATATTGCAAAGTATTTCTGTCTAATATCTAGTCAGAATATATCATCAGGCCAAATAACTTAATAAGTTACAATGCAGTGAGATGAAATGTATTGTTTTTAGACAATGCATCTTTTTAAGACTCTTGAAAACATATTTATTTCTGTTTTATCTCAGATGAAACAAGTTTTTTTAATTTTATTGGAAAATCACCAACTTACATCAGAAAACTGAAAACCTTTGAGCATTTGTGACTTATTTTGCAACACAACATTTCCTGATTCTGGTAAAATATAATTCAAAATAAGTTTCCCCAGCTAATAACAAGATCTGATTCATCTCTATATATCCCATCTTATTTCAAGAATCTCCACTTGTTCTATTGGCAGATCTCTTTACTTATTTACTTGGAGCAGCATGTTTTCCAGTGTAACTGTTTGTTTCAGCTGTTTATGTTTGTCAGGAGAGCGTATTCAGCGTTCTCATGTCCCGGGGCAGAAGGGGAGAACTGAGTATTGCTGAAGTGAAGAGAGGTTTGAAGTTTACCTTCTGTGGAGCCTTGGGGTCAGCGGTGCAGTTGGGAAGCGTTTGATGTTGTTGCTTCAGTACGTGGTGTCGAGTGCAGGAGCGCTTGACTTCCCAAGATGAGCAGTTGGTGCACCTTCTTTGCTATTTTTAGCGTCAGTTCGCATTTGAGGGAGAGCGACTCAAAGCTTCTGAAGCGACGACTGTTGGGAATGAAAGCTTAGTCTCACTGACAATGTCAGTCATTGCTTGTGACAACGATGGTCTTGTCGTCAGCTAATAACATCCCAATCAGAACACAGTTGATCTGAAAGGGTCTCCCACAGTCCTCCGGTACATCTGATGAGCCTCTAGTGTGCAAGTTTAACCTCTTATTTTCTCTAAATGTCTAAAATATGTTTTTAAATACGATGCTATGCTGATGATGAAGCGCTGTACTTTACAGTTAAGCTGTTGCTGCATAAATGTTTGTTTGAATTGTCTGTTATTCAGTTCTTTAACAACTAACCAAAAGCACCTACGAAATACAGTTGTCTGTAATAAACCATATTTAATTTAATCTTACTGCACAATATTTATGTATATCATATTATGTGTTTATAGACTTCTTTAACCATTATTTTTAATTTGGCTTTTATTGTTTATGTCTTATATAACTATTGCATTGTTGGATGAGCTCGGGACATAATATTTTCATTGCCATTTCTACGCAGTAGCTTGCTTATGTGCACAATAAAACCTTTGAATCTAAAAATAGACGTGCCAACATTGATGTGAGCGTTTCTACAGACCCAAGTACCAACGTGGGATGATGTATTATATTAGGTCTTACTCTGGGTATTAGGCCCAGATCTAGCCTACATCAGAACTTTATTACCACCCTTCTGCTGTAAAAAACTTCAAATGGGTGTATAGTGAGGGCCGTATCTTTCGTGTTGTTCTTTTCATTGATTTTGAAATGTTATAGATTCGTTTTAAGGCTCTGCATGGGCCTTTAGAGGGATATCTTTTTGAACATTTAATCCTGTATAAGCATGTACCAGCGCCGATTGAATTGTTCTGTACCCTGGTTTAACTGCCGGGGCATCAGCAGACACCTGAAGGATATCAGCCCATCATCAGTGATGTTTGTCTGGGGTTATCAGCAATGCTGCTGCGACATTAAACTCAGTACAGTCAACGAGGTTTGGGGGTGCAGTAAACAATTTCTTTAATCTTATCACAGAATCCACGATGAAGGACAGTGAAGAGGAGGACTGGGGGGGGGGGGGGGGGATAAACTGTTTTTCCACACTCGACTCTGCCCCCAAAGGTCCAAATATAAAGAAAAAAAGGGTCACAGTAAATCATAATTGAAACTTTATTGACAGTTTTGATTAGAAAGTTGTTCTGCATTAGATTCCATTACAGTACAAACCAGGAACAGAAGAAGGCCACGCACTAGAGCTGAAGGACAGAATAGAAAATGAAAAGGGCTTCTCAAGCAGACGTGTAAAGTGCTGGAGAGCAAAGACAGCTGGGCGAAGAAGAGGGCAATCAACTGCAGAGAAAAGAAGGTGATGGAGGACATAATTGAATTATCAAAACAACACAACCCTTCATAGAAGGAAAGGAATTCAGACCTCCAGCAGCTCTTTGTGTTGCTGCAAAGTCACCATGTGGGAGAAAAGAGTGATTTAAAACTGGATGCAATAAATTGAACATTTTCTTAAATCAGGTATGACATCATTATATTGTCTCAATGAGTGCCCTAACGTCCATTTTACAATACTGCATAAGACATGCCAAACTGGTGCTCAAACAAAAATAAAATCATAAATCAAAATCAAGGACAGGGAGATAAAACAGATCCCGGCTTTCATGACTCTCCAGGCAATCGGAGAATGCCACTCGCTGATTGGCCGAGGTTGTAGTAGCCAGTGGATAGCCCCGCCTTCTTCAGGAAGTGGGAGGCTGGAAGGTCTTGGAGGTGGCAAGCATGGCGCGCACTTTGGCCATCAGATCCTGAATAAAGAGAGGAGGTTATTGTAATACACATCAGTCATTTGATAACTGGGGTTACATAAGAGAGGTGGGACCAGACTTTTATTATACACCTTTGGGTATAACAATAACACTAAATGGGGTGTAAGTTAACGATAATCCCCAGCTTCATCACAGCCAAAAACACTCCTGAATCAGATTGTGTGCAATACTTTTCAAAAATGTTCCATCATCTGCTGTGGTTCCAATTAAACCCATTTATTGATCGCTCTCAAACTCCAACAAAGGACTGCTGAGAAAAATACAAATTGATCTATGACCATTAAAACTGGGGACTAAAAAGGTATTTGGGGAAAAACAGTAAACAAAAACTATGTTACTGTAGAGTAATTAACAGAAAAAGCTATTATGATATTCATTTAAATGACTCCCTGTAGTGCTAGTAGTGCTCACTGAGAATCAAATCCCTGGTGTGCCGCTTTCCGATGCTTTTATCTCATCGCTTTGTTTTACCACCGTGAGCCAGCCACTCATATTAAAGGTTAATATACGGTTGTAAATCAGGACTTTTTTTTGGAGTGTGCTTCCTGCCCTCTGCCTCAGGAAATCCTCTACCCTTCTTTAAACATGTGGAATGTTTTAAGCACAGTATAATTCCCCATAAGCACTAAGAAATAGGTGCATCACCTCCTCGTAAACCCTTTAATCTACAGTCCAAAAATAAAGAAAAGGGGAAAACAGCAACGAGGGCGCTGCCAAAAAATCTAATTAATTTCCTTCCCCTTTCAGGTGGGAATGTTAATGTTGCTGACCAGGGGGTGAATGCTTCCATTGCTGAATAGGAGGTGTTCATTTGCACCCCCCCCCCCTCACCAGAGTTAGTCATACACGCATGGACAATCCACCCTTGAGTTTTCCTGACATATGAGACAAATTAACGGCTGTAATCACAGAGGGAAGGAGCTGTCTCCACACACACACACACACACACACACACACACACACACACACACACACACACACACACACACACACTACACACCACACACACACACACACACACACACACACACACACACACACACTACACACACACACACACACACAACACACACACACACACACCACACACACACACACACACACACACACACACACACACAACACCACACACACACACACACACACACACACACACACACACACACACACACACACACACACACACACACACACACACACACACACACACACACACACACACACACACACACACACACACACAGTCATCCAACACGTTACTAAACATAAATACAAGATTACATGAGCACTTCACTTGCCTTTTTGTTTTAAACTATCTACATACATCTTAAATAGTTTGAAAGTTACTTTGCATTATGGAAAGACATTTCACAGATGTTCTTCTAATTAGGTCTGCAAGGTAAAACTATAACACTGAAATATACAGTCAGGAATATCTCAAGGGAGCTATGAAACATATGCGTTTCCTCTTCATCTCACACCTTCCTTTTTTTTTAATCTGTTATGAAACTCAAAGACAACTTGGATTATATTTCCGTGATCTTAACTTGTAGAAGAATCTAAAATGAGTTCCAAAAAAGAAAAACACACCAGTCCAAGTACACAAAGCATTCATCAAACAGAACAAATGTAAAGCTAAGAGAAGTAGAGGCGACAGGAGACGCAGTAACAAAGGCAAACAGGAGGAACATGCGAGAAGGGGCTGAGGCGAAGAGCAGGGAAGAGGAGACCATTAGGCAGATGAGGATGTGCTGAATTATTCAATATGTGCTTGTAAAACATCACAGATGGGCTAGAAGTAGTTAGTGGATCTGTGCATGTTGCAACAGCAGCGAACGGCATGTTTTCATGTGTGCTGCGATGAAGGCAGGAGAAAGGAGTTGTGTTTGATTATGTGGAAGGAAGAAAAACAGGGTGTTTTTCTTGAAGAATGAGGAGATTTATAATGTGTGGTTTTGTAGGCGTGGAAAGTAAACAAAGATACTCGCTGCAGACTGTCTCTCTCACACAAACAGTGGAGGGAATGCGTTCCAAATTCTGTGCAAGTTGTACCGACATTCACAGAAGTTTCCTCTCCATTCACATTCTATTGACCTCCATTAGCTCCAGTCCCAGGCGCTGCTCAACCTCTCTACATTCTACACCCGTTCTCTTGTATACAACGGTTGCTACACAGGTTTTATACTCCTAGAGCTAAATAATCTAGCGTCCTCCTGAGGCTACAGCCCACATTTTCCTCTCTAAACATCAGGCCCCATCACTCATTACTGATATTTCAGGATTTTTTAATCAAAGCTGAAAATGTAAAGAAGCATAAATAATTAAAGTGGTGACACGGCTCCGGGAAACGTCTTTCATCTTGGAATAGATGTAATGCCTTTGACAAATTAAGCTAACTGATTAGGAATGTGGCTAAAGGGGTGTTTCTCTGTGGTCATATTTAAGTTACAACAGTACACAAAACTATATTAATATAGCAGTTAAAGAAAAATGTAAACAACAATAAATAATGAAAGTACTGAAGAGAAAACAGTGTGCCAGCATTTGGTAACTGATTCTACTCCAGTTGGACTCAGATGTCGCACTTTTCCTTGTTTCTTTCCGTTAACTGCCTAAATCGGAACTACGTTTTTTTTAAAAGTTTTTGTGTTTCTCTTATTTTCCTACAATACTGTTATGATTGGCTGTGAATAAGGAAATATGAAGGACAGACCATCAATTTCTATTTTTCCTGTTTAGAGAAAGGGGCAGGTAATATAAGTTATATTATGGTATAATATGATTTTCTTCTCCCTGCTCCTTTTCAGGTATGGTGTGTTTATTGAGACATGTTTTGTATATAATTGTTATACATTAAGTTGTGCTTACCATGAACGGAACAAATAAAATGGTACAATTGTCTTGTATACACAGCATTTTGGAGCCTTTTTGCTCATTTAAGAAAGCAGTGACACAAATATGCAAAGAGCCAAAAACAGAACAACACATTTTAAATGAATGGTGACCTTTACATTCTTCTGTCTTTCCTGTCATCTATTCAGCTGGTAGCTTTATGCTCATCCCTCAACATACTGGTGCGTGTGCATGCATTTCATTAAGCTGCATTTCTGAAAGCAGCATGACAAACAGGCATAATTGTAATTTGATCAGGGCGTGTAGAATGTGTACCGAGGTCATCATTTATTAGCAGTGGCGAACCGTCAGGGCCTTCAAGGTATTCAGAGAATACCCTGGAACACTCAGATAAAACAAACAAAAAAATCGATTTAATTATATAAATAAAATGTATATAAAATGAATAAATGAGAATCGTATCCGTGTTGTTGATCTGTAATATTACAGTGTTACGTTGATTTGTTTGTCCTTCTCGGACCATGCACTACGCATTTCAGTAGAAAAGAAAGCAACCAATCAGATCGTGTTCTGGGTCTCTGGGTAGAATATCCTTCAACCAAGGACATCCTTGATAGAATGCCCTGGCCGTTGCACTGAATGAGAGCGTACGTTTGGGCTGACAGTTTGATCAACCAATCATATATTGATTTGTAGCCAATGGGCGTATTCTTTCAGAGTTCCCCTCGGTTCCAGGGTATTCTAGAAGGCCCGCTAGTTAACTGGCTCGAGACAGAGGATCTAGATTCTAGATGAATGCGACGAAGCAATTCATGCCGTTTTATTGTTTTTAACGTTGAAATGACAAGTGCAACAGGTGAAGATGAAGTTGTTGCGGAATTGTTGTGAGTACCCTTTTCAAGACGACAATTCAGTGAAAAGACGGACATTATAATGGAGGGGGGGGGGGAGGGGCGGCGGCGGGGGGTGGGTGTGTCTACAGAAGGACCAGTTGTGATGGCCACGGTTCGCCACTGTTTATTAGTGAGGTGTGTGTTTGAGAGGACATTACATTGTGAGATACGTGTGTGACAATTTCCTATTACCGTGTGCTCTAACACCTAAATGAGGGACGCAATGCTCCATGGGTAATCAAAACACAGACACAGCCGAGCACTGTGCTACATGCAATATGTCATATCCAAACAGATGGGGCACGTACAATGCCGAAAGCGCTGGCAGCGTGACATTTGGTTGAACCCTGACTGTGAGAGAGTGGCTGCATGCAGAGCCGCACGTGTGATTGCTGTAATTGTATGTATGGAAGTGTCTTTGCTATCTTTCACACGCAACAGGAGTCCGTGGCTTCTGTGAGATGCTGACAATAGCAGCAATCAAGTCAAACAAATCAAAAATAAATCAGTTTTGTTGTTTTAAACCCACAATAACTGTATTTAGGTCACTCTGGGGCAGCAGACAACATTTGACCAGTTACAGAGCAACATTGGCATACGTTTGGAGTGTTTGAGTCCAGCATTGACTCTCTTTCAGCTCTGTTTTTGGTTTCTACCAATCTGAGAACGTTTCTGGATGTGTAGCTTCTTCAATGCTCCACTATGTTAACTAGCTAGTGGCTAACTGTCTGTTTTCTGATGCTAAGAACAAATGAAAGGTGGTGAATCAAAACAAAGTAGCAAGCCACAAAGTTGAATAATACATAGCAATTCTTTGTAGGTTTGAGCAAACCTTTTCACGCGTCATATAGATGTTTTTAGTTAAGTGAAAATATGGATAATAGGCACTTGAAGGCACGATTGGCACAACTGAAAACTGTTACATAGTCTACAGCAAAGAAGGCCAAATTCACATTACAAAAATACTGAACCACAAGTCTCACCGGAGATTTGGCCTCTGAGGTTGATGAATCTTTATTTTGGGAGAAACACCTTCTGGACATGACCTCCAGTGTCTCAGTGGAGGTCGTAACCCTCTCTTTGCTCTGGATTTAGAAGTGCTGAACGATGGCACATTAGCTCTGCCTGCTTCCACATCCGAATAACATATTCTGAACGAGGCAGGTTAACCAAGGTCTCTGCAATCGAAAAGCCTCTCAACTAGCATCAACCAATATTTAGCCGTGGTACTCCTATACTTTTGGCAACACTCCCAGAAGGAGTGCAGGAGGTAGAGATCCATCTACAACCAAAACAAGAATCCAGCTGCTTGGACTGTAAGCCTTGAAAAATACTTGCAAATCAGAATTCATGATGAGAATGTTTTGTCAACACACACACACAATAGGCTATATAAGAAGTGGACAAAGTCACCTATTGGAATTGTACACTATTGTTTTGAAGCCTCTTGTAGGAAATGTATCCCTGTTCACAAAACACAATCGAACAAAGACATTTCTTAAGGCAAAATGTTGCAGTTAAATTAACCTACGCAACACAGGAAGCTCCGCCCTAAAGAATATGCTGCTTTTACGCTATTTAAATCGAGCTGATGGACAAATTAACATCATGCTGTTATTAACAATGTAGACCATAAAGTTGTCAGGATAATCCTAACTGATGTTATAAATCATGTGAGAAGTAGGGTGATTTTCTCATAGACTTCTATACAACCATAGGACTCGTGCTATTCTACCTAATAGAAAAAAATGCAGTGGCTTTTGAAGATGTATCACCAAAACGTAATATGTGCACGAGCAACTGCACGATGAGAGGGATTCCATGGAAAGCGTTCCTGATATACAGAAAATGGCTTCAGGACAAAGATAAGCTGGTCATAAAGATGCAGGTCAAATCCTTAATCGAGAGATCAGACAAATGAGTTCTTCAAGGGTCAACTAATTAGGCTAAATAAAAACATAATGCTTGGATGTGTTTTACAAACATGCAGTAGATAAAGCAGAATATGCGGATAGAATAACAAAATAACTATTTCTATATTTAATAACAAGGGAGCACTTTATTCTTCTTCCCTGAGACATAACAGCACTCAGTTTGTGCTCGGACGCAAAGTTCAGTGGAGGACATTTCTGGGATAAAAGCAAAGAACAATACCTGAGTTATTTTGGACTGAACGGAGGATACTAAGGATGAAGCCACTGCCACTGCCTTCTCCAGAGAATCACCCCTGCAGAGAGGAGAGAGAGAGACAAAGAAGAGGAAACAAATGATTTTACCAGAATAGACTATACAATATGTGCAATATGTGCTATCTATATATATATATGCCGTTAATAACTGTGTAATATATACCTGGCTGCTAAATCCTTAGAACTCCTACAAGATGTGTATTTTGTAAATTGTGTAACTTGCTGCTGTTAAATACCATCCAACTATGTGCAATATATATATATATATATATGGTAACACTTTATATTAAGGTACACAAATTAACCGTCAACTAGTTGTTAATTAACATGCATATTAGCAGTATATTGGCTCTTTATTAGTCATTATAAAACACTTATTAATGCCTTGTTCTACATGAACATATTCTACAAGTAATAAGCCATTAGTTGAGAGTTTTTCCTCAATAACACTCTAATTAGTGCTTATTTGTTGCAAGTAAGGAAGTTGTTGTGCACGAGTTTTGGTCTTAATATGCGCTGCCCAATATGGGCCTAATAAGGCAGTAGTACCACAAGAATAGTAATTCTCCCATAATAACACTTAACAAATATAACCTATTCTTATGGAACAAGACATGAAACTACAAGTGTTAATTAAGTCTAAACAACTCAAAATTAGCTATTTATATCTAAGAACATGTTCCCTATTTTAAAGTGAAGTCTTGTTCATAACCAATAAGCTAGTAGTTTGACTCTAATTGACCAGAACAGGTTCCCTATTCTAAAGTTGCCTCCTCTTCACACTTTGTAAATACATTATAGCACACAACTACTGAAATTAACCTCAAAAGTACATGAACAAAGTAGGCACACGTTGAAATATCTGTTTTATTAATGAACCACTAAAGAGAGGTTCAGACACATACATGTACCAAAACATGTCAAGTTTCTCCAAGGCTGAGAACATATGCAGCCTGTACTTTTTAATAAAAACTGATTTTTAACAGAGTTTATGTATTTGTGATCATACTGTGTGACCTGCTTGTATGTTCTCACACAATAGGTGTACTGTTCTCTCTGTGTTGTCTCAGTGTGAACATAGATTAAACAGCCAGCCAAACTCTTTTGAGAGCCAGGGAATGAGCAGCTATGCTCCTTTATTGACTTATTTGCAGTCCAGTGACATTCAAACGGAGTGAAACTATAAAAAAAGAAGTTACAAGGCACTTAATGATCTCATACATGCAAGTGTAACATACACAGATGAACACATTAGGACCGCTTAGTGTAAACAAGGTAAATATAGCTAATGCTAGCTGTACAATAAGCATGCATACAGGCTAGTATGGCTAACGCTAGCATGTATGCTAACGCTACCGTGTATGCTAACGCTAGCGCGAATGCTAACGCATTTTCTCATTGAGTTTAAACATCTCCACATGTCATCACATAAACACAATACATGTTACTAATCCTTACAGTGTAAGTGTAAGGCTCACACTTACACTTACAGTCATTGCTTTCTGACGGACTTGACCCTTTTACTCTTCAGGTTGCATAGGGAAAATTAGTGGCAGTGTACTCATGGATGTCTACTGCCATTATATTCCGTTCACGTTCTCCTACTTCCTGTACCCGGGTCTAACCTTCAGTACACATTTTACAAAAATATAAATGTGCAAATATGAAACATACAGGTCAATATCACCTTGCTATTGGTAGCTGAACTGTCAATACCCCAAAACATATTATAAGATATAAATACCTAATTTTGAGTTATTTAGACACAATTAACACTTAGTTTCATGTCTTGTTCCATAAGAATAGATCATATTTGTTAAGTGTTATTATGGGAGAATTACTATTCTTGTGCTACTACTGCCTTATTACGCCCATATTGAGCAGAGCATATTAAGACCAAAACTTATGTACAACAACTTCCTTACTTGCAATAAATAAGCACTAATTAGAGTGTTATTGAGGAAAAACTCTCAACTAATGGCTTATTACTTGTAGAATATGGTCATGTAGAATACGGCATTAATAAGTGTTGTATAATGACTAATAAAGAGCCATTATACTGCTAATATGCATGCTAATTAACAACTAGTTGATGGTTAATTTGTGTACCTTAATATAAAGTGTTACCATATATATATATATATATGCCGTTAAAACTGTGCTATATATACCTGGCTGCTAAATGCTAATAACTGTTACAAGATGTGTATTTTGAAAATTATGTAACTTTTTATTTTTATTATATTTTTTATTATATCATAACTTAGTACTTTTTAATACATGTAACATATGTAACATTAAGCTGCCTGTGGCTCTTTTTCTGCTGTAACAACGTACATTTCCCCTCTGTGGGACTAATAAAGGTATTCTGATTCTGATATCTTCTTACAGTTTTTAAAGTTGAACAAACATCAAAAGATGTATTGGAAAGTTATAAACAAGACAAAAAATAAGGAATGGCAATAGACCTGTACAAACTAAGATATTGACCTAGAAACAAAGCAAACAGTTAGCATTATCAAACAAATGGGTACAAAATTGCAGGTGGCAGATTTAAAGGGGCCATATTATGCTAATTTCCAGGTTCAGATTTGTATTTTGGGCCTCTCTGACATGTTTACATGTTTTAATTTTCAAAAAGGACTTTGCCTGGCTGGCTCTGTTGTGATTGGTCAACCACTTGTATATGTTCTGCCCCCTTAGCCTCACATACAATGTGTTCGAGCACTAGCCAATAGAAGTGCATATTGATGTGGCTTTATGAGAAAAGTATAAGGTTGGAGAAGTCGTTATTTAATTTAATCTGTCTTCGTATGATTAAAACACGATCATCGACCCGACGCAGGCCCCCCCATTGTTGTTGTTGTTGTTGTTGTGAGCGCCGTTGGGAAGAAAATCAGCGACGTAAACGGTGACGTCATGACGCAGCAGCGGCAGCACCTGGGCGGTGTGAACAAACGGGGGCTGAAAAAAAAACCCGGTTCCGAAGCAGAAGAGCGCAAGCACGGAGCTAGAACGGGAAGCGCGTTGGTGTGAAAGGGGCATTTGTTACATAAGTAAACAAAGGAGTCGAATTGAGATGCTTCAATCAGCGGGGAGTGCGTGAGAGAAATTCTCTCTGGAGGAAACTTTGGGAATTAAACCTTTGCAGACCATTAACATGCACAAAAACTTATATTACACACTACAGGAAAGGGACAACCCAAAAAAGCCTAATAGGGCCCCTTTAACACCATGTCCAGTGTTTAACCTTTTCACCGTCTAAACATTTCAAAATGTATCAAGAGATTTTAAAATAGACAGAGTTGCATGCACATCAAGTTGATTGAACACAAAGGGTGACAGGAGATTGCAGAACAGACAGCTTCTGATGCCATGGAGTTTTACAGCTTCAGTCCAATGAGAAAGTGGGACAATGGTGGGTATTTCTCCCTTTGAATAGAGAATTTTAGATTATTATGGCTTGCGGCACTAGTTCAATCTTTTGTAGGAAGTAAAATAGTTTTCTTTTATAACTAAAATTGAAAAACAAGCCAATCACATTCTTATGTGGCTGCTCGAATAATTGTGCACTAAAGAAAAAGACAGAAAATGACAACATTCCAGCGACAAAAATTCAAAAGAAAAACAGAAATAATTTGAGTCTTGCCTTTTCAAAAGGCTTCACCTGGTGATGTTTTTGGACACAAACAAAGCTTCTGAAGAGCATGAAATTAGGATTCATGAAATACCTTAGTTATAAAGTGTCCCTGCACAAAAAAGGAACCTGTGTGTTGTCCGAGCAAAACATGTTTCCATGGTGTGTCATCACTCATAAATCCTTCACAGTTATCTAAAAGTTCTGGGTTCCACAAATCAAAGACTCAAACACTTCTGTTGACTACTCGCTAAACATTTGCTCAAATCAGATACGCAAATTCACTTTTAATAATGCATTGGTATTGATTTGCCAACACAATAACACAGCCTCTTCCAAATCTAACAGCTTGTATTGGAAGGCTGGAGGAGCGAATAAAAACAAAGCAGGACATCATTTATCTGCAAAATGCATTTTTCATGACATCTAAAAACCGTGATTGCAGCTTCTTTCACATTGTGTGCTTTTATTTATGATTATTTTGGATTTATAACCCTCTAACAGAGAGTGAGATTTGAAAAACTGATAAGAATGATGACACAAACTGTGGAAACTATGATAAAAGTATAACACTTTGCCAGCATTTTCCTTTTTTATATGTATAATATGGCAGGGTGTGCATTTGGCCTACAGGTGTTTCTGTTGTTGTGGTCACTCAGTGATTTAAAACATGTTTATATAATTACATGATCCGTAAGATGTGGAGCATAAGGTCTATAGAGCTTTAAATAAGGTGCAGAAACTGATGTTTGCCTATTTATATGACTGGCATAACTAAATAAGAGATTTGCATCAAGACTGCGTACCCTGCACACAGGATTCTACTTCCCCACTGACAGTGAAATGTTAAAAAGAAGACATTTGAAAGCACTGACAATACATTATTGACCTCTTTCTTGATGGTGTCTGTCGGGTCGTTATGGAGTGAATTACAACAAGTGGCACACAAAAGGCTGTTGATTACATTATCATATTGTTAAAGAGCAGATGACTGAGTCTTTCTTTGATTTATCTTCACAGCAGTAGCAGTTCATGTGTTGTTGATCATTTTATCGAATAACATGTTAACACAACTCTGGATTAGACCACTTTATTTTAAATATTGCAAACATATTTAAGATACAAATACACGTGTATCCCCCGGTGATCACGCTGGCCTTGAGTTATCAAATCATCCTGACGTACGCCTGGCTGATGCTCCCAAGGATTTCCTGCTGTCCTCGACTGAGATTATTCCATACATGAATTTTTTTAATATTCAAGCTAATTTGTTGATGCAGTTGCAACCCAGGCCACGGGATGTTCCTTTCCCCCCTAATGTTCTATTGGAAATGGGTTTATGGGCAGTCCAAAATTGTTTTACTAAAAACATGTATGATTTTCTGTCAGGCTGAGGAGGCATAACGAATAGTTTTTTACAATACTTGAATGAGACAACTGATTATTTGCATTTCACAGATTTCTGAACATCTGAACTTCTTGAATCTCATGATTTCTGACTGAAACCCACCCTACTTACCATTCCACTAAGTTGTGGCTAAAAACACTACTTTTTTCATCTGCTTACCCAGAAGTCTTTTAACTTGTTTTAGCAACTACCGTATTTACAATGTTGCTTTTAAACTATTCTGTATCTCTTTTATGCATGGTTTTTATGAATCTGTTATTCCATTATGTTTATTTATTGTGTTCCTTTCTGTTGTCTTCTTGTTAAGTGTTAATGATGACGTAAAGCACTTTAAATTGCCTCGGTGTCTGAAAATTTGCTATATAAATAAACGTACCTTACTTAAAAAAAGAAGCAACGAAAACACTTTGATCATAATTATTAAAAACATCCATATTGGAGAACTTTCCTGCTATTCTTAAAATGTTGTTCTTTTTATATTTTCTACCTCTGTTTTCGAAATAGGATATTCTTTCCTCTTGCCGGCTTTTATTGGTTGGCTCACTTCTCTAAATCCACTGAATCAAAGGGGTTTGTGTATCGACAAATGAATTAATTTCTCATGACCTATGCTGGATTAATGATGAGCTTTACTTCAGCCCCAGTCCCATCACCTCCTCTCTCTGCTGACAAATTCACATTGTAGCAGAACTCTCTGCACACAGCTGCTTTCTACCCAAAAGGGAATTTGACTCAAAGAGAATTCATAACACTAAACCTGCTTCTGTGAACTAGACCGATTTACTTGTCATGTCCAAAAACCACCAGTAATTCAGCTACGATATCATTTTGCAGACCACGTATCCCCTAGATTTTGCCCTCTAATTATCAGAAGTTAATGTAAGCAGCTTTAATTGTTTCTTTGTCAGACAAATCTTCAACGGCAGACCAACAACTCCGAGCCCTCAGAAGACACTGTGTCCGTTGCCTTGAATGCCTTTGTGCTTTACGACCTTGGAGCTGAAAAGACGTTGGATATTAGCCATCATATCACTGGCTCTTTAGATTTAATATTTCGAGTCTCTGTTCTGGATTAAGAATTCCTTTGACATCATGGACAAGGCCTGGCTTTAGTTCTACCAACCAGAGTGAAGCTATTATGACAGTTGTATTCAGCTCCTCTTTTTGGATGGTACAGCTGTCTGAGGATGGCACACTGCACACGGATGAAAAGGACGCGCCACATACATAAATTGGTGTTCAGTCTGAAGCAGTGTCCTGAAGGGTAGAGCAGTGCATTAGGTATCCAGGAGATACATTATTTGACTGGTTGCTAAGCTACATACCCCTTAGTTACTGTTGCAACTTGCAACACCTGGGAAGCTTTACATTTTGGCAAACAGCACATCTGCAGTTTACAATGTCTGTGACATATTCACCACTCAACAGCAGGTTTTTCAATATGTGATTGATTTCAGATGGAGGAAGGTAATGGAAGGCTTCTCATTCCTAGCAGGCGGGTATCAATTCTGCTGTTGACAAATGATTTTAGCTGCAGCTACCCGTCTAATTAAAGTAATGTTGGCTCCACAAATTGGTTGAATATGCCGTCTGCCTTTAAAATGGTCCCAAATACGATGGCTATACACTTATTATAAGAATTACTTAACAGATTGGGTGCTTAGCTTTTTTGTGGTGAAGCATAACAGAGGTTAGATTTATTCTTAATTTTTCAAATATGACAGTATGTTAAAATGTTATGTTTTTGGATAAATAATGTGTTGGATGAATGAAACTATCACTGGTTGAACGTTTTTCTGGAGAATCTTAAATCTGAATCTAAATCGTAGAAAAAGTGTCCACTTCACCCTTACAATTAAGCGTTTTCTACAACAAGACTATACCTGTAGGTTTTGCTCAACTCGAAGATAAAACACTGTTAAATCAATTGCTTAGACTTTTACCTTCTCTGGTTTTTTCTAAGAGGAAAAATTAACCTGGATCACTTTTACTTAGCCCCATGTAAACATTTCAACATATGAAGAAATCCAAAGCTTGGCAAGCCAGCCATCATTGTTACATTTTCTAAATAGAGTACGATTGGACAATCATTGTTCAGGAGATCAGGTTCATGAGCAGTAGTTTTTTTAGACTAAAGAAAAATAAAATACAGTAACAGCATGTTTTTAACCAAGTGTTACTGCAGTCGAAGGCCGAGAGATAGGAAATTAATCGGACATCATATTCAGTTTGTCCTTTGGCTGTATCAGCTACGTTTTGACAGGTTGCCAAATATTTAAATACTGAACTACTAGCTTCATTGGAAAAGGATGCTTCGAAGACCTGGAGGCAACAATATGTTGCTCTGAATAAAACTGAGAGGAGTTTAAATTGTATAAATCTTCTCCTCCCAAAACAACCATTTGGTTCTTTAGGGAATACCTTCGGTGCGTTTCACTTCTCTTATTTTTCATTTCCTCGCTCCTCGGTCTCACCGGAAGTTGATTTGTCTGCGCCATCTTGAGTAGCGTCCCATGGCGCTTATTTCTGCCGGAGGATCGAGGAGCGATAACGGAGGAGCGATAACCGAGGAACCACCAGACCATCCTCCGGTGAAATCCTCAGATACTCGCCCCGCCCCTTTACTGTGTATCGCTCACTGATTGGACGATGCAGCGCATGCACTGATCTGATGCTTCTTGACATGAGAGCAGTTTCCCAGCGGAGTGAAGAAAATACATGAAACTCACTCCTCAGTTTATACCGTGTTTTGTTTCAATTAATGTATCATTTAGTTACAAATATGTGATATATCTGAACAACATTTTATTCATTTATTGGAAACATTTTCATGATCGCTTTTTCGGTTAAACATTTTAAGAATGGCGTTTATCTTTTTTGAGAATGAGTTCTTATTTTATTTTATTTATTTGGGTCTACAACAGATGATACAAATGTATATGTCAGTAAATGTGTACTAACAGAGGCGGGGGTGTGTGTGGAAACAACGGGGACAGAGCTGCTGTCAGACGATCAGCTGTGCGGCGTCATCACAAACGGACGTCGCTTCACGTGACGCTCCGGAGGAAAGGACGTCCCATTGCTCTTAAAACTCATTTCCCTGCTTCTCGTGGTTTCCTTGCGTCTCTCCATGCTCCCCTGGTGGGAGGGACTAAACGCAGGGAAACGACGCAAGTGAGGGACGCAAGGAATCCATTTATCCGAAGTGAAACGCACCCCTTGGAAATCTAAAGGATTAGCTGGTTGATTGACAGTGTGGGAGTTTACCTGGAGTGGGCCAGGCTGGAGGCGGGGCTAGCTGATGGGGACAGGACGACTCTGTTGGGGGAGGCGTACGGGGAGAGAGAGGAGCCCACCGTTTGCATCTGCCTCGAGGATGACATGGAACTCTTCCTTTTTTCAGGAGGCGACCTGAAATGAAAAAAAAGGGAGGAGCGGGAACCGAGCGTTTCAGATTCTGCCAGTAACTCTACACAATACACAATTTATCAAGGGGCGGTGAACACTGTCTGAAGGCGATTGCATTCAGCAAAGCCCTACTTTAAATTCATGCAAGTGTCTACTGTCGTTTCCATCAGAGGTCATTTGGAAATTAAGTGTGTCTTGTAGGTATGTTGGCTAAATCTCCCCTTAAAGACATGATCTATAACATTGCTCAATGTATAGTAGGTATACACCTTATTGTGGGAGTGTTGGCGCACCTCTGACTTGACAGGTTTAGTAATCGTTGTTTTCGGGGATAGAATAAACACAGCTGTACATGTAGAGCCTTTATTCACCCCCCTCCCTCACTGCTGATAGGCTTTACCTGGATCTGGAATGCCCCCTAGGCATGCTGGAGCTGCTGCTGCTGGGATGATGGCGATCACGCTCCCTGTCCTCACGTCTCCTGTCTGATGAGGCGCCCCTCCTGTCCCTCCTCCCAGGGGAGTGTGAGCGGGATCTGGCCAGACACGAGCACAAAGAAAGCGAAAGATGTGGAGAGGCCATTCAATTACACGAGGCTGAGATTGTTAGATGAGCTGATGCATTTGAAATGAAGAACAAGTATAGAGGACGGTGATAAGGCGACGGTGGAGGTGCAAGAGGAAGACACAAAGCAAGCTATCAGGGTTGTTTTTACAGGGACAATAAGAAAAGCAAGTGAGTCTATTTGGACTGAAGGATATTAATGTGTCACGATTCGTATTAATGCCGTGAAAGAAAGTCTAAATACAATGCAACTGGGCCTGAATCTTTACTCCATTATATCACATGGACTCTCAGTATCAAAGTGGTGTTTTTCTAAACTAGTCTGAAAAGTAAATAGTATTAAATATTTAGGATACATTAATTCACTTCTAGGGTTTTTCTGCGTTAAAGAGCAAGGCTTTATTCACTGGCTTGTATGCAAGACATATCATTTAGAGACATTACAAAGCCAGGGTTAGAAAAGGAAATGATACGCCTTTGCTAAAATACTTAGCCGAGAGGAAAAGGATAGCCAATATAATGTGTGCCTTTGCTGGGGTGTCTTAACAAAGCAGTGTGGTAAATATTGGTCTCTTTAACAGATAAACGACACGAACAAAGCAGCCGGATCTCTATCTTTGATCGCTTCCTCTCCGCCCAGGTCATCTTTCTTCAAATGTTCCTTTCTCGTACATTGTTATTCCTTCATTTTTCTTTAGTCGTGCTCTTTACCCCTGCGTTTGTTTCTCCAATTCATTTCACATTCACACTTTTGTTCTCTCTCTGCTTTCAATAGAAGCAGGACATGAGAAATAAAAAAGGTTAATAGAAAACAGTAAGACGGAGTAATAGATAACATTTTTTTTCTTTAATGTTTTTCCTCATATATGAGCTCAGTGTTCTGTGCACTTAAGGTTCAGCTGGAGTGAAATATTAAACAGACGGGGATTAATCATTATGTTCTCAGCCTGTCATATTAAATGTCTCGTACGTTTAACAGCAGCACTACCAAAAACAGATTGCTTTCCCAACTGAGTATGTATCTATCCAGAGAAAAAAAGATTATTGTTTCTTGACTCATCTCTATAATTGATTACGGAAAAAAAACTTTTCTGAGATTTTCATTAAACCTCACCTCAAGTCAGAACGAAACCACGGTCATAGATTTAAAAGTGTGATTTTAAATATCCTCTTTGCTTAAAAGTTGATTTAGCATAATTTAAAGCTTATAACACCGTTATACCTGAACTGTTGTAACAACATCCATAAGCTACTTAGTCATTATTTATCTAATATATCATTCCAATAGCTTGCATATAAACTCTTATTTCGCTACTTCACTTTTTTTAAAACTATTTTTCTTTTTGTATTTACTTTTTAATATTTACTTGCACTATATTTTTCAGTTTTTCTGTATTATTGTGTTGCACTGTTGGAGAAGCTTGTGACCTAAGATGTTCATCGACATAACTACTCAATAGCTATGTTCGTATGACAAATAAAGAACCTTGAACCTTATTAATGCACCAAAGTCAGAAGACCTTGGTCGTGCTCTCAAAATTCCATTCTAGTTTGCACTGCACTAACAACAGTGTGTGTTGGTCTTTGATTCAGTATATTTCAGATATTTACTGTCCCGTTAAAGGAAATTATTTCTGCAGGATAAAATAACAACGACACAAAAGAAGACATTTAAAGTGCTCCTCCCAAATTGCTCTGTCTGTGGCAACTAGCCGCGGCTGCAGTGTGTTGTCCTAAAAGACTCATTTATCTTGCTGAATTTGAAACGTTAACGCGACATTGTCGTACAGTGAGAAATGTGGCCACAGCATCTTGGGATCGAGATCAAATTGAATTGTGGGATACTTAGAGATTCTCCGGCCCTTCCATTGACAGTTGTGGGGCCAAAATGTCTTACCTGTGGGACCTCCTGTAGGCGCTGGGGAGGGAGTATTTACTCTTCGACTTTGACCTCGATCTTGACCTCTTCTTGTGTTTTTTCTTCTTCCTGTCTTTTTCCTTCCCTTTGTTCCTGTCTCTTTCTCTATCTCTCTCCCTGTCTCTTTCTCTCTCTCGTTCTCTGTCCCGATCTTTGTCTCGGTCTCTGTCTCGGTCTCTGTCCCGGTCCCTTGCCGATCCTCTAGAGGTGGAGTGGGAGGAGGAAGAGGAGGATGGAGCGTCCCTGCTGTGATACGCTCCTTTGTTCTCCACGGCGGGCCTTTGATCCTGAGCGTACGCAGGGACACTTGAGGACATCTGAGGAGGCACGGGGCCAGACAGGACAGAGAGGGCTTCCTGTATCTGAAGAGAAAACAAATGGTGGACAGAATATATCAGACACAAGAAAATATCAGCAGAGGAATTATTTTTGACAGACACATCTGGACAGTAGACCTTCTCTTTTTAAATTGGTTTGAAGACAAAACAATGTATTGATTATTTTAACATTCAGTCTCCCTCTTTGACATTAGGGACATTAATGAATTCCCAAACGCTTGATCTCTCGATCTGTAGACAAATCAATACGGGGGCTTGTCTCCTTGCTGAGATGCAGGTGATGCACACTGCTGATTTTGTACGGAGATTAGAGATGTATTTATGCAATACCCCTGTGTCCATCTTTGTCAATGTTACAGGATTATATAACTCAGATGGCAAAGGAAGAATTTGAAAAAAAAAAGTTTGCGATTCCTCCTTATAAGTGAAAGCTGAAGAATACTTCATTGGTTTTCTTGTAGAAAACTTAACAGCGTTAACTTTTCAGGCCGAATTATACGAATTGTTATTACTTGAAATGCCGTATTAACCTGTTAAGCCCCAAGCCTGTTTTTCAGGTCTCAGGCTCGAAAATGACATTCCCAGAACAAATGACCATAACTTCACTTCTAAAAAGGGGTAAATTAATTATCTTTTTTCTCAAAGCAATGATAAACCTGTGAGTTGGATGTTGAAAAGTCAGAATCAATATAGATGTTTTTATTTTAAAGTAAATTCAGATTGAACACAGTAAAGAAATATAAATTAGAGTGCCCGTCCAAAAAGAAAAAAAACGCTCAGGGCTCATTTAGACGCTTGTTGTGAGACTTGTGTTTTGTTCCGGTAAAAATGGTTCATATCGTCAGTTAGCCGAGTTTCTTCCCGTTAGGTGGGTATGACACATTCATAGTTTATTAAATGTTAAGAAGAGACAAAGTTTTGTGAAAAAAAAGCAGCAGAAGCTCATTAGCATTTAAAGCTACAGATACAGAATCAGCACTTTTGAAACAGGGCTGAAACAGAGGGGATTATGGGATGCTACAATGCATGATCTCTTTGGTATTTCGAGTATAATATGTATATATCTGAGACCTATATTATATAATTGAAAAAGAGTATAATAGGGGACCTTTAAAATATCAAGCTGTATAGATGTAGGTACAGGAATTAAATAGGTTGAAAACGTTTTTTAAATAATAATAAAAAAGGTACATACATGCTATAAAAAGGACATGGGGTCGTTAACCAGCTGGCAAAGTCAAAGCCCACACTCTCTCATGTTACATATTCTTAACTTAAAGTAAATGAGGAAAAAGAAAATCCATACTGGGCAGATTAAAAAGTGTGGGTTACACAACACAGGGCTACACGCTGAGCTACAACTGTCAGCTGCAAAGTGCCTCTGTCTGCTCGTTTTAAATTGGCCTGCTGCCGGATTCATGCTGAAAAGATGGTTTCAGGCAATCAGTGGATTAAAGGAGACACTAAATCTTCCGGGGTTGGATTTTATCTTCCAGGGTTAGGTCTTATATTGCTCATGGGGTCACCCCTTTTTACTTATGTATGCACTCACGGTGCTAAAAGAGCGTGTAGATAAAGAAAGACGTCCGAGGGCACACTTTATATGCTTACATTTACATAAATGATGTGACCAGAGTGATGAGTGATGAACAGGGAAGACGGAACGGAAATGAATGTGGGCCGTGACTTCAATCTCTCCAATTCAATCAGACCCATCTGCTCAAAATTGCACATGGGTGGAGCATGAAAAGAGAGACAGGGAGGGACATAATGAAAGTGAGAAGCAAATGAGGTAAGTAAGGGCAGGAAAGAAAGAGAAAGTGCTCAGGACAGAAGACGATCAATAAGTATCTACAAACAGGCAGGGAAGAGAGGAATATTTATTACACCTTTCTGTTTGCGCACTATCTGGTGTCTGGGCTAAGGGAGAAATAATGAAAAGATAGGAAGCAGGGTTTGGTTGGAAATTAGGACTGACGTATGGGAAGCTTCTCCCAACACCACGATGAGAAAATGTCTGTGCTTCACACCTGCTGGAGCAAGATACGGAAGTTCAGACAGCAAGAGGGGTAACAATGAAAAAAGTTGCAGTCCGGGGTTATGAGGAGAGGAGAGGGAAAACTGAGGAATAGGGGAGTAACTCCCAGGAGAGACATTCTCTTAATATAGAAGATAATATATATATTGATTAAGAAAAACTACTTATAACTTCAGCCTGAGACACTTTACAGAAAAGTCAGGATAGCAATCTTAAGAGTATCCTATATATATATATATATATTAGGGCCGGGACTTTAACGCGTTAATTAAGATGAATTAATTACACAAAAATTAACGCGTTAAAAAAATTAACGCATTTTAATCGCACTTATTTTTGCACCGCGGAACGTTTCTCACTGGATGAGTTTCAGGCGTACCGATTATACTGGAGCACCAACTAACGTTCATGACTTCAGACAACAACAAACCACAGTGAACAACAGTGGGAAATGTTGTTTTAAAAAACGGACGGATGGAAGCGTCGATAAGAGCACGGTTGTGTGCAAATTATGCAAAAAGGAATTCGCATATCACCGCAGCACATCAAGCCTCAAGTATCACCTCAATGCAAAACATATAGCAGCTAGCGTGGACGTTAGCCTCTTTTATCGCGTTCACACCAAAAAGAGTCGGTACTAAAATTTGTTCATGAGAACCTTTTTACCCCCACGAAAGTCCCTGCGAGAGAGCAGAGAGCTGCTAGAGAGCAGGGACTTTCGTACGGCTCTCTTGTGAGAAAAGAGCTATATTTCTGATTGGCTGGGCGGATTGCAAACCACGCCCCGTAAAACTCCCAAAAAGTTTTGTGAAGCCGCCATTTTATTATCCTCGCATTAGCATTATTAGCATTAGCCCAGCGCAGAAACGCAGAGAGACTAACTTATGGCAACACAAAATAAAACATGGGAGCGGTGGAGATGAGGAGGTGTCGGCGTTCTAGCGATTTACTCGGAAGGCTTCAGTAGAAGCTGCTGGGACTCCCAGCAGCTTCTACTGAAGCCAGTCCCCAACTCCGGGGACTTCCGGCCGGGGACTTTGGGCGGCAGTATACGCCGTGAAGTGGTTTGCGGCCTGCCAGTAAACCCAAAGCAGAAGAAGAAGAAGTGACGTCAGCGGCTTCATTTGCCTAATCCACCCCCAGGTTCAAAGAGTTCTCATGAACTAAATTCTCATGAACCTTTGTGGGAAAAGTACTGCGGTGTGAATGCGCCTAATGGTATACTAAAATCCATGTGAAAAAAAATTGCTTCTCACTGTTCTTAGGTCAAATATTTATATGTGATTAAAAATGCGATTAATTTCGATTAATTAATTACAAAGCCTCTAATTAATTAGATTAATTTTTTTAATCGGGTCCCGGCCCTAATATATATATATATATATATTGTGTTTGTAGGTCGGTATATTATCGTATATTCTAACTTATTCTGTTTATTATATATTGTGAAATCTTTAAAAACGTTATAGATATGCATCTTTCTTCTGTTGATATTTATATAGTGACCATTTATATTTATTTTTTAACCGACGTGTAAAGCCGTGTTTAGATAAGGCTGTAATGAAACAATTTCCCAATTTTGGTTTAATTAAGTTAATCTAATAAATTGGACTTTTTCCATATCACTTTTAAGACGACACAAGAATGAATCGAAAGCTGAGAAACTGCATTGATACAGTGCAAACAATTATAAGAGAGACATTAAACGCACGCCTATTTTGATATGAGTAGAATAACAGTATGTGTATGCTTCAATTAATCATCTGCATACTCAGAGTCAATTAGTTAATTTACTACGAATCACTGCGAATGACATCATTTTACATCGTTGAGAAGATCCTTCTCATGTTAAATACTCTGTATTTTACTGTGGCACATGATCAAATGGTAATCAAAGAAAGCAGGCAGCAGAACATAACTTAATTAATAAGTGAATTGAAGAGAAAATGAAAGAGGAAATTCACTGTGAGGAGCAGGCTTCCCTTATGATCACAATGGTTATTAATTAAGGCCTTGCCTGCTAAATAAGTTTTGCAATCCATCACTGATGGCGGCCTGTGAGCGGACGGAGAACACTCTAATTCCTTCATATCATTAATATCCTATTTGTTGCTGTTCTCAGAAGTGCCTCCGCTCCCCTCCTGAGTACTGGGGCTCTTTCCGTAACTGTCCTGTCATAGTGAATGAACACAGAATTGATGTGATAGTCTCCAATGACCGACTGATACAAAAATATATAATCGCTTTATTAAAAGAGATGAAGCCGCAATGTCTGACTGAAAATTGTTTGAAATAGTGCTCCATCAATATACAATGGGCAGTTAAACAATTCTAAGAATCGATACAGCAGAAAGGAGGCATCGTCTTCTTTATGAAATCTTTCTTGATCAAACCAAAGGCTTACATTTCACATAATTAAAAGAGATCAAATGATGTTATCGGCGGTTAAGTTAGCATGGAACCCCTTGCATCAAGAAGAGATAAGGAGAGGTCTGTAGAATTCACTTAACAAAACGCCAATGTTTTTTTTCCCTTCTTCAAACTTGTAGGCTTAAGCCCCATCTGAGGTCGAATTAAAAAACATCACTTGAGAACAATATTATTTTAGATTTCACAAAAGTCCCAATGCAACTGTTTTTCTTTACAGTTGCAGTTTAAAAAAGGACCAATAAACAGCGTTTGATTTCTAAAACAAGTGGATTTCCCTTTAGGACTGAGCCATTTAGACACCCCATTGGTTCGATGAAACCTATCAGTGGGTAAACAGTATCTGCACCCCCTTAAAAATAATATGAAAAGCCACAATTTACCAAGACTATGTCATTGCAAAGTTACAAAATCAGAGCTTATTCTCTAGGTTATATTTACCTATCAACACAGGGTACAACAAGATGAGCCTACATTGCCAGACCCAAAAGTCGGTACACGTTGATACCTCTACAAAAACATAGCATTCAAGTTGGTCCAAACCTACAGTATCTAAAGC